GGCTGAATTGCACAAAACGCATGATCGCACCGGCTAGTCTGGTGCGCGTTGCCATTTATTACATACTGCAACAGGTTTTGCATTTAATGGAAATCGAAGAATGGGGTTGCTATTGGTCGCTTTCCCAAACTCCTCTACTTTCCGAAAACTGAATTGACTTCTCACTTTGATGATGCAAAGATACATTTAAAGATATTTAAAGTTTGAGGGTATTATAATAAAATTTAAGAAGATAGCACTAAATTGTAGTTAGTCAGCTGAATAGGAATTTCTCGATCTTTACAGTCGCGCACATTTCCTGTTGAATTCCACAACTGGACTCGTCCGTAAGATGATTGTGGCGTTAAATTAGTTTCTAAATGTGCCTTTTCATACACTTTAGCTAGCGTCAATTTCACCAGAAACAAGCATGATTCTGATGTCAAGCATGACTATCGTGCTTCCACAGAAAGATATTGGCTGTAGCGTCACGCATACATCTAAAGACAAGATTCAACATTAACGTTGTTACTCCACTGCGCTGCGTAGCTTTTGTAATGCTTGAATTTACGTGGTGACTGCTTCATGGAAACAGTAGAGATTCGCTCTTGAAATTGAACCGGAACACGTAAAGACCAAAGGTTCACTTTTTTAGACTTAGGGCCTCGTAAAATGACACTTCCCTTAGTAAATTGGCATTTACGCGGACATTCCTGAAAATCTAGTAAGCATAGACCTGGACACGGTCGATTCGATCCTTCTTTTCTACGCTTAATGCAGGCTGAGTTTGCTTTCATCATGTCACCGGAATCACACCGTGCCAACGAAAAATCTGTTTGGTTCCGCCAAAATGAGATAGTCTAGCACCTCTATCGTTCCTTGTGCCAATGCATAATTATCAATGTACCTCCTCCCACCACCCCGCTTTGTACCAATTCCTCATTGAAATCGTCTACATCGAATGTGTATGTGGACTTAACAATTACAGCTAATTTGAGCTCAGCACAGAACCCGCCAACGTCATCGTCATCAGTGGCCATGCTGGGGGATTAAGAATGTAACCCCCGAGTTTTCTTCTTGGAGAGTCGAAAAGTCGTCTCTTCCTTGCAAAATCATTTTGCAAACATCCTTCCAGGTTACGATGTTTCCAGCCCTTCGCCAAAGTTCACATCCGCCGAACACGTCGCATATTTAACCTATTTAGCGAGGAAACAGCCAATGACTTAGCTCAACATAGCGGCCCACAGTTACAGATCCTGTAAAATATATTTTACAAAAACGTACATTTTACGAGAGTTTTACAAA